GGACATGTCCCTACCGTCCCTACCCAAACCTACGCCCATGCCAGAGAGAAAAAGTCACTACAGAGGTGTGCCACATTAGTAAGAGATAAAAATAAGGCAGTGTGGAAAGTTTTGTGCAGGTGGGGACCGATGTCTTTGTGTCAATTTCAAAGAAAGTCTTCAAACCTACCATCATAACAAAGCCATGTTTCCCACACTACATTGTTCATTGTTAACAAAATTTTCCACATCCGTCCTTCGTGAACTCGTCTAAAACGCAACATGTGATGACTTTGCGTTTTTTTTTGTAACAAAATCCGAGAATAAATACACCAACCTCCACCTCTGATAGCTTAACTCCCTTCTGCCTCTATTTTTTTAAAGTCCATCTAGATTACAATAAGCTCCATTGATAAAGTGCCAACTAGCCTTTAACAGGTTTTAGTGGACTTGCACCTGAAATATCGCAATAGTTAATTTTCTCACAGGCCCTGAAAACTGCAGCATTGAAAATCTTTCCTAAATTTTAATGATTATATAGTTAATAACTACAGTTTCATATCTGATGTGATATTTTTTGACAAAATGAAGTAAAACTATTACTATTATTTTTGGATTGGTTACTGCCTTTTTGGACTGTAAAAATTACATTTTAAGAAAGAAATATTTTTTTATGGATCACATTTTTTTCATCTCCAGTCAGTGTACTTCTGCATTTTTAAATGACAGATCTCTCAACATTCATGCAAACAACATCCATCCTATTATTTAGATTTTAGTGCTCTATTTGATTCATATAATGGAAAAAGTGACTGGGACGTACTGGTATCTCAAATCTTATTGGTTAGTGTTATTTTATAATAGCACTAACCAATCTATTCTAATCTATTTATTTATTTAGTAAAGAGCCTTGAAATGTGTTGTGAATTGGTGCTTTACAAAATAAAACTAATAAAAACAGGGCACAATAGACAGAATCGATGTTAGTTACAAATACAACCACAACAAAATAAGGTAAACAAATATATTAAAAATGATAAAAGTTGAACATCAAATTATTCAGAGCGTACAACAGTAAAACCAGCTGACCAAACATACTGGAACTCTAATTGGGTTGCTAGGTAACCGTCTGGGCTTTGCTGGGGTTGCTTGATGACGGGCAGTGCCTGCTGATTTGTGATCTTACATTCCAGAGGTTTTTGAAATGTCTCAAAAAGCATTAACTTATTGCCAAAATAAAAATGGCTGGGTGTTTTGTTGTTGTTTTAAAGAAAACCACATGGAAGAACCAAAACCTTCAAATGCAAATTTAGCATAGCTTTGAGAAAGGGGATATGCCTTTGAACAGAACCAGGTCTAGGAAACCAAATCAGTTACGATGGATGGTACATCTGAGTTCAGACGATTATGTTTTTAAAATATCAAAAATATCAAGCACATCATCTTACTTAAACTTAAATACTATGGTGGTCCAGCGTACGCATTTCATAATAATTCAGCAGGAAATTGTATAAACTACACACTGTAAAAAATGCATTCTTTTTTAAAATTGTGCAAAAAGAAGATAATTATGATAAATATAGGAGCTGATCAAACATGGCCTTCATTGGAAAGCTGGAAAAACTAGTGTTGAGATTTGTCTTTATCATTACTAATCCAATTTAATTGAGTTTATTTATATAGCACTTTGATCAATGCAAGGCCTTGTTGGAAGGCACTATATACATAGAGTTTATTATATCATTTATTATTCTTAGTGGTCCTCTTGACCAACTGTCAAGTGTAGAAAAAAATGTTTTTGTTGGATAATTACAACAAAACAATATCAATATTTTATGTTCTTACCCACAATCCTTCATGGTATGGACTCGTGCCACTTGGCCTGGATACAGACCACGCACATCTCTTCCCAGACATGATGTTCTTTAGAGGAAGAAAAAACAAGACAAGAATATTTTATTATTTTTGCTCAAAAGTGGACAAAATTTAATTTTATTTCATGTTATTTGTCATTAGGGGAAAAAAATTAAGTTCAAACTATTTCATTAAGACTGTTCTCAATATATGAAGAGGACCTTGGAAAAGTGGTGCGACCTGTTAAAAACACTAATTTGATCAATTAGACCTCTAGAAACATGCTAGACGAATGCACAACCAACCTTCTAAATTTTGAGGAAAACCATTCCAGAAGATTTGAAGCTGCTATAGCTGCAAAGGTTTGTTCAACATCTTTTGAAAACCTATAAATCAAGTTCTTGTGTGCGTTAGCAAAATAGATTAGTTACTCCAAAAAGGCAACAAAACACACCTCTCCTCAGACATGCTTTAAGTATATTAAATGTCTGACTTAATGCATTTAAATGCATCAAAATGTAATATACGTTACTAAATTAATGCTTATCAGGCTACATTTCTGTATTGTGACAAGATATACTTTAAACAGAAGTAGAAAGCATTTTTATTTTTTGAGAATAAAGGAAAATTACATTTACAGTAAAACTTTTGTGCCATTCCTTATGAATCAAACTATAAATTAGTCATTGTGATGATAAAATATATGAAATTGAGGAAATGAATTTATTTGTAAATTCTACAATAACCGCAATGTAAAGCATAATTTATTGGAACAGATATTACCGTCCGCTTTATGACTAGTGCTGAGTGCGTGAATAACATCTGGATGTGATTTTACGGTAATAAGCTGTACTTGAAATACGGTCATGATGATGAAAAAGAACATTCAGAAACTTATTACAACATTGTTAATTATATGTGTATTATTAACCTGAAATAAAAACAAAACTTTAAGCTCAGTTATATTGTCTTTAATGTAAATCGCGCCTACAACTGTAAATAAATCCAGATACCAATTACTTTGAGGACTCAAAGTGTCTCTAATTTGGACTGTTTCCACAAATAAGGTTTTTGTTGTGTGCACAAAAATACATTTAAATTTAAATAATTAATTTTATTAGAAAAAAATATAGGGTTTTTTTTGTTTGTTTTTGTTTGGTTTTTTTACTTTTTCTTTTCGCACACCCACCATCTATTTGATACTTGAGCTATTTTCTCTGGCTGTAGCTTACAAAAATATGAGCTGTTGTTTGCTCAAAGTAGCTTTAGAAACATATCTGGCTTCGCAAATTCCTGTTTGCTCGTATTACCGTAATAACTTTACAAACAGTCCCATCAGTTTTTTAGTCTCCACTCACCTTTTAGGTAAAATTGCGGCCCAGTCGAGTTCTTTGGAGTCCTGAGACTGTCTGAACTCATGCAGCCTGATAGCGATGCCAGATCCAGCCATATTTGACCACCAGATGACGTCAAATCACTTCCGGATCTGAAGAAATTCACCAGCGATTCAAGGATAAGATAACTGCAGCTCACTCTGGGGATCTTAGGGAAGAACTTATGAAACATTGTCATTGTGTGCGCATGCACGTGTGAACTATTAATGACTTAATGTCTGATAAATTCACAAATATGAACTTGACACTCCAAAATGGCGGCCGTATTTCATGGCCAATGAAGCAGCCCAATGGGAGATCTACTCTTTTGTATTTGTATGGCTGATGTAGGTAGGAAAACAGTACAGTTCAACTAAAAAAATGAAGAAGAAAAAAAAAAGAAAAATGTTGACATTAATCTCAGACATTTTCTAGAAAAAGTCTGGGAAGTTTCCAAGTTTCAAAAGTGACAAATTTTTAGATATTTCAAACTCAGAAATTGTCAAAGGTTTTTTTTGTTGTTGTTTTTTTTGTTTGTTTAGAAATTTTTTTCGATTAATCTGAAAATTTCAGAGTTTTCCTAACTTGTTGTTAGACTTTTTCAGAAATGTTCAGGTTTTTTCTACAAAATTTCTGATATTGTTAATATCTTTTGAGCTTTTTAATGGAAATTTACTCCTTTTTTGTTCTAAATACACCATTGTATACATCTTCTTCCTGATAGTAGAGTCTCCCAGGAATGCTAAAGCTAGTTAGCATGGCGGATAAACAAATTTTCCTGAAACTGTAAGTTGTTCCACCTCCATTAATACACCGAGCGGTGTACATGAGCTTGATTGACAGCACTTAGACCCTCCTTCTGGTTCTAATTGGCTGTTTTTGACCAGCTCATGTACACTTTGTGGCCGTTTCTTCAGATGGCAATAGCAACAAAGAGCTGAAGCAGATTGATTTTTTTCACTCTTTATCTGTTTCACTCTGAACTGTCCTCTTCATGAGATTGTCTTGGAGTGTCTTCAGTCAGAGGCTTCTTCAAATTTGTTGCAATGCAGATTGCTACAAGAAATCTTTCCTGCCAAAAGCCATCACTGACGATAATAACTCTTTGAAGAATTTGAATTAATATGAGTTACAACATTTAATTTCCTTTTGGCATCAATGACGTATTTTTGAATTTGAATTAACAAGTATGTAAAAACCATATTTACAGTATATTAAAGGGGATTTTAATCAGAATGTTATTTGAAAACAACCCTCTTCATGGGGAGGATTTCAACTTTTCCACACAAAGTTAATCAAGCTAAATACTTTGTTTTAAATGTAGAAAACTTACCTGCAACCATGAAGATCACGTCTTCTCTCTTCGTTGAAGAAACCTTACACTCGGCATCGCAAGCTGACACTGGCGACGGCAGCCTCTCCCTCACAAACAGGTAACATAATAATGTGATTCACTGAACGCACGGTTGTTCTACGTTTTAAAATGAGAAACCAGGTCAATGCTGGTTGTATTTCTCCATTTAAAACATATTATTTTAATGTGCAAATAAACATCCTTGTACTTCTATACAAACTGAGGATTTTGTATTGACTTCTGTTCGTTTTTGCTACTGTATTTATGCCTAACTCTACCCATTACTAGTACAACTCTGGAAAAAATTAAGAGACCATTTAAAATGATCAGTTTCTCTGATTTTACTTTGTATAGGTTTATGTTTGAGTAAAATTAACATTGTTCTTTTATTCTATGAACTACTGACATGTCTGAAATTACAAGCAAAAATTTTGTATTTATTTGTAGGAAACGAGAAATGATCAAAATAACAAAAAAGATGCAACGCTTTCAGACCTCAAATAATGCAAAGAAAATAAGTTCATATCCATTTAGAAACAACAATGCTAATATTTTAACTCAGGAAGAGTTCAGAAATCAATATTTAGTGGAATAACCAGGAGGTTTTCAATGCATAAGGCTCTTCATTTTTTACAGATCTGTATATCTGAGAGCATTACTGTGTAATTGTTGCACTCAAAACATCTGATTTCTCTCTAAAACAATCAGCTTAATTACCCCAAAAAGTGTAGTTTTGTTATTATATATTCCTGAAGCTGAAAAAATATATGCTTATATAAAGATATATGCCTCAACACGAAATATGAATATGGGTAAATATTAACTACTGAAGGAAAAAGTATTCATATTTAAGTTAAAAATAGCTTATAGTTACAAACTCTGTTACCCCAATAAGCAATGGTGTGCAGTAAAGTAATCACTGCTACCTTAACATTTAAGTTCTTTATCCAGTGTTTTATCATAACCATAATTAAGTAACTGAAGTCGAATCACAGAATTATCCCATGATAATGGTATTATTTTTTTCAGAATTCTGGTTTATTCTGTCGCTTCATGAACCAAAACACCTGTTGTGAATTTTTTTTTGTTAGAGAACTCTAAGTTGTGCATAAGAGACTGAAACACTGAGCAGTTCAAAATGTGCATTCAAAGGTTCAGACAAGGTCACATTAAGTTCACCTACTGAAGTTTATAGCTCATTTTAACTTTAAGTTTGAATTTATAAGCAACTCAAACATGGATTTTGCTTTGAAACACCGTTTTGTTATAAGATAGATGTTACATCCTGGCAGTTATTTCACAGACTGTAATTGATTAATGCAAAGCAGCAACAGCATCACTCCCACAGCCAGACTGGGATGAGGATCCTCAAACAAAAACACCCATTCATAAGGGAGGCTGGGGAGGAAAGGAGGAAGGCGGGAGGCGTTGGGGGGAGTCGCTATACATTTAGTCAAATCTGCATAAGTTATTTTAAGCCGGGAGGTTTAAAAGTTCATTGTGCTCATGAGCCAAATTGACCTGAGACAGCAGCGCAGATCAGAGCAACAATAAAATTAAAAGAGGGCAGATAAATAAAACTGAACTGGCTCATAAAACCAGCAGGGAGACAGACAGAGAGAAAGAGAGAGAGCGAGAGAGAGACAGAGAGAAAGAGAGAGAGCGTGAGAGAGACAGAGCGAAAGAGAGAGCGAGAGACAGGGAGAGAAAGAGAGAGAGAGACAGAGAGAAAGAGAGCGAGAGACAGAGAGAGAAAGAGAGAGAGGGAGAGCGAGAGCGACAACAAAAGCTGGGGACCAACAAAAGCCCTAGATGCCATGAGGAGACAGATGGTGCCTTCACGTGTTCTCTGTAAAACTGTAAACCGTGGGATAAACGTTAGGATCCGTTTAAGCACGGTGGGAACAAATTCATAACAATGCAAAATATTTACAAAAAGGCGTCCAAAACTTCTCATGTGACCGATAACAACAAAAACACACCAAGGATCTTTTCTTATATTTTAATAATTAAAGTAACATCAACTATTTTCAGTATTGCAAAGTTAAATTTTATTAGCACCATTCCTTTATATAGATTTAATCAGATACTGATGTTTTGAAGCCATTATTTCATTTCATTATGGTGATTTTCCACTTCCAGAATTTTACATCAGATCAATAATAAAAATGTTAAATGCAGAAATGTGAAAAGTATGCAATGCATATATAAAGGTTTTAAAATATGAGAAAAGAACCTAATGCAAAAATATTGTAAAGTTTTATTAAAAATTAAACAGTTTGAACATCAGCAACAGCTATTTTTAAAAATGCATCTGTAATAATAATTTAAGCATTAATAGAACTGTTTGGCAGACTAATACTTTGGGAATTTGATTTTTCACAAATCCAAATGCACGCTTTAGCATATTTTCAGTTTTTTTTTTTTTTTTTTGTAGAATAATTGCGCTGAAAATCTATTACAGAATCATACTAAAATTAATAGAATATTCTTTAGATCTAAGTTTTCTTGTCATGTAAACTTGCATGTGTAGCACAATTTGTCTGAAAAATCTCATGATAAAATTGCTCCAGTACAAGTAAGAAATACAGCATAGTAAGAAAACTCCCAAAATTAATTTTTTTGCAAACAGTAAAATAAAACTGAGACAAAAATAGTGAGTTAAAGGCTTGTAACACAAGGTATTAATCTGGCCCCTCAAGGTATTAATCTGTTCCCTCACTTTTAATTTTAAATTTAAATCAGGAAGTAGTTGGATTAAGTCAAAATCAGCCCTGTTTAGGAGCGACTTGGGTCAACGGTTGTGGAAAAGCTTAAATGTCCGACAGCATTTGAATGCAGCGGGAGTCCTCCCAGTCGAATCTGGCTGAACGTGACGACGTGCCGACTCGGAGCCGAGGAGCGAGGTTTCCTGGCGGAGCAGCAGAGGGAGCAGGAACCGAGCGGTTCAGTCGGTCTTTGGCGCAAACCCTCTTCACTTCAGCTCGACACCTGCGGCTATGGCTCCATCACTGTCCTCCTGAAGGGACGTTACTCCGTCGGATGCTCCAGTAACCATCGAGGAGGGAAAGAGGAGGGAAGGAGGAGGAGGAGGAGGAGGGGGCATCCCTATCAGTCTTCAACTACCAGGTGAAATAACTGCGCCGGTTTAATGTAACATGTCTGGGATTTGGAAGGAAATTATTCAGGAGAGTAGCTGGAAAGCAGGAGGTGGGAGCTAGGGTCGTCGTCTTTTTTCTTTTTCTTTTTTTTTCTGTGGGGGTGCGGATTCGTCGGGTAGGGGCAGGGGTTATCGCGCTAGCTAGCGGCGGCGGCGGCGCCTCACGGACCCCTGCTTTGGCTTCGTCGTCCGCCAAGCCTGGAAAGGGGTGCCTCGCCGGGTGATGCTGTTACGGGAATGCATAGCGGCACCGTCCGTCTGGCCTCGGCCCACCTCCGTGATGAACGATACACCCCCCACCCCCAGCCTCCACATCCTCTCTTCAACACCCCCACCCGAAAAAAAAAAACAAAACAAAAAAAACCCCACAATATCTCGTGTTCATACTGAATCAATACCAACAACGTTATTTAATGGCGGTGATGGAAAAACACCAGGACCAGAACGGATCACGCGCCCGCTTCAAACTGACAGTTAGCCAGTTTGCTTAGCTAGCCTGGCATTCAGCTATCTAGCCGGCTAACATTAGCCCCCCTACCCCCCAACTAGCATCCCTGGCTAGTCTGCATCCTCCATCCGACCCATCACAGGTCGTCCTGGTTCACACCAGGGTCTCGTCCTCGGTTTCCCACCGCCCACAACGGTCTGGTATCGCAGTGAGAGCCACCGCCACATATTTATTCCCGTTTGGCCCGTGAAAATATAAAGGAGCACGCAGAGCGGATGTTGTTATGTAACAAATAATGACACCACACGCCCTTGAAACAAAAGCTGTTGTTTCAGTATTTTGTGCGAGGTGCGGGAACCCAGTCATGGACAGAGAACCGGGGACCACATGGGTCGCTTGTGGTACCGGTAGGCTGCGACTCTGAGCAGTCTCCAGAAAGACACAACGGGTTTTTCCTGTCTGTCAGCCATTGTTTTTGTTGTCATTGGGGGTATGGGGGGTGTCATGTCTCTCCCCCCCCACCCACATTCCACCCCTGGTTCTTCCCGTTGTTTCCTCTTATTGGTTTGCTTTAAATGAAAAATACATGTATCATAACACCTTCAAGCTGAATGTCCAAAGAATAATAAAAAAATAATAAAAATGTCACAATATGGAAAGTTTTCCAGTCATATAGAAGCCTCACTTGTGATGCATAAGTAAAGACAAACTGATATTTGCAATAAAAAAGAGCAGAAAAATACATTTTAAGGGTCTTAGATTTATATTCTAGCATTTCAGATGCATAAAAGAAGTCAGTAAGTCATGTTAAACATTTCAGTCCATCTAGATATCTTTTGGGGCCAAGATTCCATTCAAAATCAATTTTTAAGTCAAAACAAGTATTCTTAATGATTTCTGTCAGTATGCAAACGATCCTCATGATCTACTCTAGTCTTTGCAAAGTAGACTGACAAATGAAGACATTAAAGCATCACATTTATTAAAATTTCAAAAATGATTCATGCCTCCTCTGTTTTGCTCTTACAAAGCCATTCTGCAGACAGTGTCCTCCATGGACGACTTTGCAGTTTCCATCCTGAAGTTTTTAACCATTCAACAATCTTTGTAGCTTAGTAAAGAATTAAAAAAAATAAATACATAACGGCGTTGGATAAACATTCTGTATTCATGTCAACCTAGAACATTTATAAGAACTCACTTATTCCAAATGCTATAATTTTACTCAAATTTTGACCATTATTGTCAAAGTTGTGTCTGTGGCTAGTTTGACAGTCTGTGATTCTGTTGTGAGCCTTTTATTATGTACTGTGGGTGTTTTTTAAAAACACCATGAAAGGCAAATGCCCATATTTGTGGACAATAAAGATTATTATGTTGCACATTATGCGAAAAGGATTTCGTCAGACAGTGGATTTGTTCCATTTTTTTGTGTTAAAATCGATTTTGGGACATTTTAGATCGATTCTGAATTGTAGTAAATGAGAATCGGGACACTTATGTGAATCGATTTTTGGTCGATATGGTCAATCATAATTTACAATGTAGGTCCATGCCAGGGATGAATTGTGTTGTCTCGGTCTTGGAAGACCTGGCTTTGACTCCATGATATGACGAACCTTTATTATTCTCTTACTGTTTTTTAAAATATGTCATTAAACTGTTGCTCAATATTTGAATTCAGTTTAGAGATTGTCTTTCAATGTGTGGCTGCATTTAATAACTTAA